TGAAGGCAACCCTATATAAGACAATTTCAAAGCTTCATTTAGTACATAAAGTGACAGTAAGACTGGTGACTGGTATTAGCTGTGGGAGACATCTTGCCAGTTGGAAAGAACTGTGCTGTCTGTGATTTACTTCTAGGTCAAATTCAAATTGTCTGGGGCCAAGAAAATTACAAGATCTTTCCATATGAGTCTGCCTGGCATTTGAGATCATTTTTGGAGGTAGGGTTGCCCATCTCCAGGTCCCGGTGGGGGTTCCCCTAGTTTTTGGGGCTACTGCCTGCCACTGGCCAGCAGTGGATACCCTGCCCCAAAAAGCAATATCCCCGGTTTTACCATAGAATTTTGCCCTCAAACCAGAGCGTCTCCACACGACATCCCAACATGATGACATAACTTCTGGGTGACATCATCACACCGGGGACGTCCCGAAATGCCCCCCAAATCCCCCCACCAGCACGACAAGGTATCTGCCAACCCTATTTGGAGGTGTTATGAGCTTGGGCCTGCATAGTGGGGCTTAGTGGTTCTGGGAAAGCCTATTTTAGAGTGACTATTGGGCCTACATTTCCCAGGCCAGCCTTTGGACCATGTGATTGGTTAACGGGATTTGGAGGGAGAACTTACACCAGTAGAGGAGCAGAGGGTGGTGCCTGGGAAGAAGAGATAAAAAGCCTTGCCCAAGGTGGGAGGTGGTTCCCTCCTAGGGAGCAGAGCTGTAGAGAGGCTGTTGTAGACAGAGGGATCCCCCATCAAGAGGGGGTGAGCCAGCTTGAAGCCAATCACCAAGAGATAGCTAGGAACAGTCTAGATCAGGGGTGTTGAACTCATTTGTTATGAGGGCCAGATCTGACATAAATGAGACCTTGTTGGGCCAGGCCATGTGTGTCATAAGATGTAATGCCAGGTAGTGGAGATATAAATTTTATAAAGGACACAGACAAACACAATTAACTTTCACATTGCTTTCTTACTGAGAAAGACTGGATCATGAGGGCATGAACACAGTAAAAAGGAGGAAGGAACCCAGTTGCACCCAGGGGAGCCCTGGCATAAGGAGCCCAACAAAACACACAATGATCATAAGCAGCCCAACAGAATACACACACACTGTAGCAAGGCACACAAAAGCTCATACCTTGAACAAAACTTTGTTGGTCTTAAAAGTGCCTGGTATTTCTAACGTGCAATTGAGGTAGCCCAGCAAAGCAAGCTCTCCCTTGTTCCCTCCCTCCCTGCCTGTGTTCAGAAAGGAGCCTCAGCTAGTGGAAGAAAGGCTTCTCTTTGTCTCCTGAATATGATTGAGGCAGCCTGGCCAGGAAGCAAGCTCTGGCTAGTTCCCTCCCTCCCCTTAGGAGAAGGGGGGGAGCCTCAGCCAATGCTTTACCAGACTCTCAATCACACAGGAGAAGCTTGCCAATCTATTTCTCCTGTGTGATTGAGAGAGTCTGATAAAGTAAGCTGCGATGTAGCAGCAGCAGCAGAACAGGAAAAGGAAGCAGGAAAGAACCAGGGCCTTGTGGGCTGGATTGCAGCCCTCCGAGGGCCTGATCCGGCCCCCGGGCTGCAGGTTTGACACCCCTGGTCTAGATTGATGTGTTAGGATTTTCTTTATTTGTTTGTGTACCTACCTTTACTGTTCTCATTATCCTACATAGTACTTGAATTACAGTTGTTATTATACCTCTTCAATAAAATTGTTCATTACTGGACTTCCGGTGGGTGGATCGGCGATGGCGTTCGCTCTCCTTGATGTCTGAGGAGGCGACTAGCACACCCTCGGCTTGGAGGGGTGCCACCTCAAGTGGCACCCCCACAGAGCCCTTGTAAAGGGTTCCAGGCCAGGGGGCTTTTGAGGGTTAGCCTCTTCGACAGCTGGATGCCGGAGAATAGAGACTTCCCTCCCCCCCGATGGTCCAGCCGACTGGGTGACCTTAGGGTACAAGCCAATCTAACCGGGACAAGCGCAGGAGATCGAGCGAAATAGCATATGAAGAGAGCGGGGTCAAGTTATGATCAACAATGAACGTGAGTTCGACATAAACAGATTATTTTACTAAAACGGAGTACCCCCCATGGGAAAAGCGGTGCGTAAGGAGGGTCACCTTCTAAGCGCATGAATGGACTAACGTAGCGAAGGGGGAAGGGGGGGAGCAAACAGCGAATTCTTTTCTGAGAGACTTACTTGAGTACCGATAGTGAAACGACGAGTCTTTTGGGTCCTGGCATAGCGGTTTGGAAGTGTAAACAAAGTGAAATATGGTGGCTTCCCAAGGAAAGTTAAAACTGAAACCAGGCAGTCAGAGCCCAAGACCAGAAGAGGGAGCAGACGTCATGAAGCTGCTAGTGGATATGCTGAAGCCAATAATGGAGCAACTCGATGGTATTAACCAGCAATTGGCCACACTGAACCAAAACTTCGGTCTGCAGCAGCGCCAGCTGGCAGAAATGGAGAAGAAAGTGGAGCATGCAACTGTAAAAATTACAGAGATGGATATTGCAAATAAGAAGATGAAGAAAAGAGTGACGGATGTGGAAACAGTACAAAAACTTCAGGAAACTTGTGTGTTACAGCTTCAAATGGAAAAAGTAACATGATTCTCAGATTTCAGGGAGTGCCTGAAAAGGAAAAAGTAGATCTAAAGAAGACTCTGGGAGATATCATCGCTCCAGTAACAGGTATATCAGCGGATGAAATAGTAAAAGACACGGAGGCTGCCTATAGGGCATACTCCAATTATATTAGGAGAAATGACCTGCCTGGAGAGATTGTGGTGAGATTTGCAAGAAGACAGACCAGAGATGCGGTATTAAAGGCAACTTCGGTAAATCTACTGAAAATTGGGAACACAATCATAAAAACTTTAAAGGATATCCCATTTGAAATCCGTCAAAAGAGGAAAGGTTACATGGAACTGATTTCATTTCTTCAAACTAATGGAATTCAGTACAGGTGGGCGATTCCTGAAGGTGTAATTTTTAAAGTCAACAGCAAAAGAGAGAAGATTGACTCCATCTTTAAAGCGAAGGAATTTTTGAGACGTCAGCTCGGGCCAGAAGAAGAACGTAAAGATGAAGAATCCAAGTCAAGTGACTTTGCTACTTCGGGAACGGGTGAGGACTCTGTGGGGGAAGCGGGTGCGGGAGCGGGAGCAATGAAAACTGTATATGACTTTAGGGATAGAAAACCGAAGTAAGGGCAGAAGGACTCTGTAAATTGCTCTTTGAAGTAAGAAGATGCTCAAGAAGTACTCTCACAAAGATTAACTTACTAATGTAGAAGATGTGTTACTTTCACAAGTATATTGTATCACTAACACTTGTCTTACTAACATTTATATTAACATGGAAAGGATCTCCTACTCTTTGGTTTTTAGTTAGTGGGGGTATCTTTCCTTTATCCTTAGATGTAGTCCCCCTTCCCTATATTTTTCATTGTAGTTATTAGTCTATGAAAAATAATAAAAATACCCCTTTGGGGGTTTAAAAAAATTATAAAATCGTTCATTACTCACACCTCATTCGGTCACTTATAGGGTGGAACCTGCTGGAAAAGGAGTGGATAAAAGGGGCAGGGTGGGTGCCCTGGGCCCTCCCAAGGAGACCCATACCAGAGTGGTGGCAGCCATTAGAGTTTTTTTCTAGCTGCTGCTTGTGACAGGAGGTCTTGCTCAGAGTTCATTTTCTTAAATGGCCTGGTTGACAATGACAGGGTTTTTTCAGTGTGTGTGTAATGACCTAGATGTGGAAAATCTTTCCCACATCCATTTTCCTGGTACAGAGTCTTTTGTTTTTAGTTCCTATTGTTTTCTCCTGAAGCATTTTGTTCACTTGCTACCGTGTGTATCTGTGTGTCTTCTCTCGCTGTTTGCCTCTTACAGTGGCTTTATTACAAGATCACCAACCAAGAAGGGTAAGGGCCATGAGAGTACATAATGGACAGACTTCTGCATGCATATCTGTATCCTCAGGTGGAATTAAATTAGATCGTACTTCTAGCAGTGTGGCAGTACATTTATAGACGTGATACATTAAATGTGCTTTCAAATTTAAACTACAAATGGCCTTGAAGTCACTTGGTATTAGTGAACAGTAACATGAGAATGATAAGAGAGGACAAGTGAAGCGCTTCAGGCAGACTGCTGACTTTTTCGTTTAGGATTGAGGGTCTCAAGCCCTTTGAGACCCCCCCCTTCCCTTGGGTAGAGGGACAGGTGCAGGGGAATTCCGGCTGATACCCCCATTTAGTGGCAGTGGTAGGGGCAATCAAGCACTTCCCGAAGCACCAAGCGGACAAAGAGCCTCCCTTTGGAGTCGAAACTGTCGCTACCGGTCACAGGGTGAGGTGGGTGTATAACTTAACAGTGAACTTTTTCTAAGCCTCCAACAGCAGTGAAGATTGTGAGATCACCTAAAAGTAACTAAAAACAATAAAGACTTAAGAATTAACCCCTCAGTGAATTCAAAAAACGAGAGAAGGAGGAGTGATATTCCCCCCCCTCCAGAGTAAACCTCATTTAAAAGTTGTGGTAACAAGGTGCTGTAAACTATATAAAAGGGAGGGGAAAGAGGGGGCTACAACTACTGGCATCTGGCCAATTTATATTTTGTTAATGGAATATAGACTGAATAAGTTACAGTGCTTTACTACAAAGAGAAGAAAATATAGAGATACTGAAAGTGAGATCCTTACGTATTTCAAAGAGTTTTTTTGCTACAAGGCTGCCCTATAGAAATCGTTTAACTCTATAATCTACATGACAATAACCAACAAACTGACTTTGCTAGAGATTTCTGGTTGCTAATGTTTTTGGTATTGTACTTTTCTAGTGATCTGGTCTGTTTTTTAAGTATACAGCAGGATAACATCCTTTTGCAATGGAAACTATAAACAATGATCATAAGGACTACAAAGACTATAAAATTTACTTTCAAGCAGAAAATGAACCAAAGGAAGTGAAGTCAGACAATTTAGCTGATGAAGATTGGACAACCTTAAATCAATGATAGTGGCTACAATTAAATCAGGAATTAAGGACACCTGTGAGGAACTACACATTCTAAACCAGAACACTTCAGAGGAATCTGCAAGTAAAAGGGATAAATTGTTATACCCAACTTTTAAAGACAAAGAACCAAACTGTGAACAGGAAGAGACTTTAGTAAGACAGACCCGAGTGCTGTACAAAAAGACTTTTATAGCAAGAAAGGAAGAGAAGCTGTCTAGAGAACGTGGACCTTTAAAATTGAAGGCACTGTCAGCTATAGAAACAGTTAAACAGGGGAAGAAAAACACAATTTCTAATGTAAAGCAAATTTATGAAATTGATAAGGGGAAAACATTTAGAGAAAAGATTAGATTCAAGACGACTACTGCTCTATCCCAGAAGGAATATTGGAAAGAAAAAATGCAATTAAACATGTACTTAGGCTTAATAATGTTAATTGCAAATTCAGCTTCTATGGTTTACAAAGGGAAAAGACATAAAGACAACATTTTACAGTTGAATAGATATTTGGCAAAAAAGAAAAAAAATAAGGTTTTTATATATAATGATTTACATACGTGGTCTCATTAAGAAATCCTAATTTTGCTCTTTGTATGTTGGGTGTGTTAAACTCAAATGCATGCAAATAGAATGGTGTAGATTCCATTAAACTGGATTTAAATAGAAGGATGGTTATGGTTAAGAAACTGGATTTAGACAGATGATAGAGCAACTCTCCTTTTTGTAAGGTTGGTGTGTTAAACTAATATATATGCAAATAGAATGGGGTAGAGTCCATTTAACCAGAATTAAATAGAAGGACGTTTCTGATTAAGGAATTGAATCTATAAAATATTACTTTAGTAGTTAATTTGTATTAGTTAAGTTGTATAAGAATGAATAGAAATCACAAGAAAGGATGTAGTACAGGATACTGAGTTTGTTTTTGTGAAAGTTTAGTGGTGAATACATTGTAGGAACTATGGAATAATAGGTGGAGTCAAAACATAAAAGAACTTTACTGTTTAAGTTTATTAACAACTAAATAAATGTATATGTATATTGGGGGCAAGAAGAAAAAAAAAGAAATGATCTTGTTTAAGGTTAGGAGGGATTGATAAACTTGAAAATATGTCGCAGAGTTTGTGTTTATGTATTAGTAAAGGAAACTAAGGGTGGGATGGCTAATTAATCTGTAAAACAATCTATTAAGAAGTCATTTACTATTTGGAGTTGCAAAATATTAGTGTATTAATCAATTTTCTTATGTTAAGTTATTTAGGAGGGACTTGAACTGAGCTAGTAGAATCTACCAAGCTCCTTTTATGTTGTTTTGTTTGCTTGTTTGTTTGTATGTTCATGGAAAATCAATAAAAAAATTATCCAAAGAAAAAAGTTTTAGTTCTATCTGGCTGAAATAGGCTGTCATATATACCAACATAAGCAGTTGTGTGGAGTAGGCACACATGACCTACGGTGCTGCGAAACATTAACATTTCCGTTTATTGATAGAAAATTTCTAAATTCAGAATGTGTATTGAAAAGAAAGACATTCTACATCCTGACCTTGTCTTTCAATCATTCTTAAGTCTTGGATCAATTTGATGACGTTGTATGCCATATGTCCTGGCAGCAGCGCTTGAGCTGTGTCTTTGAGATTTTTAAGATAACTGTTTTTCTTTCAGTATGACTAAACCTTTATTTTCATGGCTTGTCCTCCTACAGTATCAAAAACATTTAACCAGATTTCTCTTTCGTATGTCAGTTTTGTGTTTCTGTATTTATTTGTTCAATAACATTTTAACTCTACAAAATGCTTCCCAGTTCTTAAGCTTTTGTTTGCTAAAACCCAGTTTTTATCTTGTTGCGTAACCCTTAAAACATAGTTCTTCGGTGTACAATCAACTGAAATACATATAGATGTGATGTTTTAAAAATGCAGGGACCAACATAAGAGAAAAATTCCAGATTTTTTTTTTAAAAAAAACATTTTATTATCAGGATGTCCAATATTATATCACCATCATTCACAATTTAGCACTTTTCCTTTTCACCCTCCCTCCCCTTCTTCAGGCTTCCCGCAGTGATCCCACCCAGTGTTCCCTCTAAGCTGAGTTAGTGTGAGCTAGCTCATAGTTTTTTAGCTTCCAGCTCACACATTTTTGCCTTAGCTCAGGAAGGGATGGCTCCAGAGCAAGCTAATTTATGCAGTAGCTAAGTCACTCGCTCACAGCTTTAATGCCGGTAGCTCACAAAGTAGAATTTCTGTTCACAAGACTCCACAGCTTAGAGGGAACATTGATCCCACCCCCACCAAATCTCTTTTTCTTATCCATTCCTTCCTTTAAAACAAAACTTAATAGGTAACAGTTTCTTTAACTATCTTATTCTTGTATTCAACTTCATAGGTAACATTTTCTTAACACAGGTAAAAATTCCAGAAATTTTGAAGCATGGGAATTCCTCCCCATCAGCTTCCCCCCCAACAAGGACATTTTTGGGAAAACTGAAATACATGCAATACTTTCCTATAAACCCAAAACTTCTTTTGCTTATTGCAAATTAAAAATCTTTAATCTCACTCATTCCTAAAGGGGGGGAAATGGAATTTTTTTCAGTGTTCTCCCAAAGTTCACAATTTTTTATGTTGTGAAAATTGGGAGGAAAGTCCTCAGGGGAGATACAATAGCTCCCCCAACCATTTTTTTTTTTTTGCTTCTTTTTCTCCCTTGGACCTCCATATCTCTAACCAATCATCCAAGCCAACTCTTGTTGCATTTGAATAGTATTTCCATTGGACTAGTTGCTAGGACATCTGAATGTGCACCCTATTGAAAGTACTGATACGAAAATCAAGGTAAACCGTATTTTCATTTGCATACTCATCCGAATCTGCATTCAGTTTACTCCTGCACCTCCCAGACCAGCTAGTAACTCTCATACTGAAGACTGCTTCCATGTTTAGTTCTTATGATGGTGCAAACATTTGTTTTTCTTTTTTAACCCACATTTTATGCAGTAAAAAGTGATAGAAATCAATTCATACTTTATATTGGATTCAGGTAGCTTAATATCTGAATAACGCAGTATGCTGCTTTACTCAAAGCAAGACGATGTGTGTTGTGAAATTTTATAGCTTACCACTGGTAGGTGAGTCCTTAACAAATATTCTTGGTTTTTAAATTACATTTGAAACTCTCATTATCTGCTGCTAATTCAGGAATGAAAGCCATGGTGAAAATAAATTAAGGGATGTCTCCTCAATGGTTTGCTGTTGTGTGGATTTAGTGTGTATCTGTGGAGGGGGTTGGTTGCCCATTAATGTATTAACTATTCTTCAGTGTAGAACACATCCATAGATGTTGACAGGTTCTCTCTAGGGGGAGAATACTGTTGTGCATTGAGAACCAATTCAGTCTTTCAGTTGAATTCAAAGTACACATGAAGTATGTCAGCTGTGAACAGCATGTGCACATTCAGTAGTTGTTTCTCTACAACGTGCATAGAGGCAGTCATCAAATAGTTAAAGGGCTGCCAGAACATACTGTTTGGATTCTTCAGTGCCTGAACAGAGCATAGAAAGTTTTAGTCTGGAAGAGACAGTCACAATAGCGCTATTGTGCTTGAGGCTTCTTACTTCTGGCACTCAGACAGGACTGGAAGAAGCATTCTGGTATAATCTTCACTGCATGTGTTACCTGTTCCAGCTTTTGAAGGTCATAAGAGGTGGTGTGCATAGCAAGAATAAGTTATATTAGGTTTAGGTAATCTCTACTTAATGACAATGGATTAAACAAAAGTGGTTAGTAACTATGGCTCTAGAAACTCATGTTAATGGTAGCCGCCTACCTACTTGTTTGCTGCTACAGCAAGGTTTTAATGGAACAGACAGTTGTATTTTCCAGATGGAGACCTAGAATACGTAATAGGGAGCTGTCCAAGGCTCGTTGCCAGTGAGCCTATGTATAATGTTCTTATATCAGAATCTTACAGCAGTTGATCAGAAGCAAAGGAGGTTAGGGCTTCTGTATCTTTAGTTGTGGTGGAGAAAACAGGATTGCAATAGATATAGGTTGTCTTGCTTGGATAAAACAACCTACATCTGCTGAAATTCCCTCTTCTGCACAATTTAGGGGGGTGTAAAAAGCCCTGCCCTCCTTTTGTATCTGGTTAACTTGTGGACAGCTAATATGAAGGTGCCTTTTGTTGACACTACCATGAAAGTCTGTTGCTTAATGTAATGTATTCCTAAATAATGTATGGTATATCATGTTGGTTTCTGCATCAACAGCATGTATCAATATTTAATACCAGAATTACTATTTTGGAAGCCCTAATTTGATTTGTAAAATTCAAAATCTGGGGTAATATTTTGCATGGTGTCTTAACTATAAAAACAATATAGGTCATTGTACACAATGAGTTATTTCTACAAATGAATCAATGTTCAACAGTTCATGGCATCTTAAAAAAAAGAAAAATCTGGGGTATCTAGTTGGGGAGGGAGAAGGGAGAGAATTAGTAACCTTAAAGATTATATAGCTTTGGTGCTTAGCAGGGGTCTTGTTGTAGAAAAAGAGCTGCCGGAGCTCATTAGCATAACTCATTAGCATAACTTATTTGCATATGCCACGCCCCCTGACATCACCGGAAGTGACAGAAGGCCACACCCCCTGACATCACCGGAAGTGTGTCAGAAGGCCCGGCTACTTACCCTCCTGCTTCATCCTCATTCCCAAACGGAATGAGGATCGAAGCAGAGGGCGGGGTAAAGAAGGGGGCGGGGCTTCACCACGTGACCGCCCCGCCCCCTAGAGGTTCTCTTCCGGAGCTCCGTACCTGAGAGCTCCCCCCCGACTAGAGCCCTGGTGCTTAGAGTTCTCAGTCAGTTTAACCCTCTGGAAATTCCTATTCTAGGTAGGAAATATCTTCAAGGATCAAATGTCTGTCCCAACTGCTTAATGAGAACCTAAACAATTATGATGAAATGTGAGCAGCTGTCTGCATTAGTGAAAGACATCTCATTTACCGCCCAAGGTTTTTGTGGTTTCCCCTCCATCACACATAGCACTCTATATTTGTATGTTCTCTGACTAACACCATCGGTGAGCTATCTGCCTCTTACTTTTTCTTTGGTCTATTTAGCAACCAAAAGTATACTCCAGATTGATGGGTGTGACTGTCATTGAATCCCCTGGAATATTTAACGGTTCACAGTTCAGCCTTCTGTGTCTGTAGAATCAATCCTGCTCTCCATAGGATTGGTTTTGTGGTTTGTTCCTGGGAAACAGGATATGCTAGGTTGGAAAATCTCATGT